TTTGTTTTCATTTTTTCTTTTACAAATTTTTGTATGGAGAGGCCTCTGGGGAGATGACTGCGAGAAGCGCGCAAAATTTGAAAGTCTACCGCGCTCGCCGGCATTATGAAAATGGCCGGGCTTATTACCACCCGACGCGGGAATGACACAAACACCGCCTGACATCCTCGCGCGACTCCTCGGGCGACATGGCTTGCACACCCTGAAATATTTATCTTTTCAAAAAAACAAAAATAAATAATAATTACCTTTGAAGTAACCGCTAGGATACATCCTACCAATGATGGTGACTTAACCATGGCTCTCTTTCTACCGAATGGCTCCACCCACCTACGTAGTTAAAGACTCTAGTGAGATGGTTGTCTACACAGTCAGTCAATGAAGGGTGTCCAGCAGCTGTGCCGTGGAAACAGTGTCTCCTCTTTAAACAAAGGGACGTGCTTTGTGTGTCCGATCCACAGCGTTATCGCCAAAGAAGAGGGAAATCCTGGCGGCCGTAGCGTCCAGCCAGAACAGCGGTGGCGAGCGACCATCAATCATTAAAGGTTGGCGGCACCTCTCGGGCCCGACGCGCCGCCCAGCGGAGGAACCCGGCGGAGCCCAAGGAGTGAAGCCCAGTGGATCCCAGTGGTGGCCAGTGAAGCCCATTCGCGCGCTGAATCTGCTCTCGCACGCCCCAGGGCGAGGCGAAGCACGGCCCCGGTGCCAGTGTGTACGAAGTACGTGTGCGACGAGACGAGGGCGGCGGGGAGGTGCGCCGGGAGCCCGCGGACTCACCGCCGCCGACCGTCCCGCCGCGCAGGGGCCGTCCGCGGCCAGCCCGGGCGCGCGCACACACACACGCCCGTGCACGGGCGCACACAGACACGCACGGACAATGGCGCCCCGCGACGAATTCCCCCTCAAGGAGAACGGACACATATCGGGGCATAAAGTCGCGAAACTGCGCGTGAGTGTGCAGACACAGACCACTCGTGCGCGGCGAGGGCGAGGCCTGGACGACCTGGGTGCGCGCGGGGATCTGGGTGGGGCGGGCCGCGCCGTGGGGTCGGTCATGTGAGGGTCAATGGAGAGGAACCTGGTGGTGGCGCGACACTCTTCTTGATGGCACAGAGAGCCCTAGTCATGTGGTCGGTGGGTGTGCGAGAGAGATCACGAGAAGGTAGGAAGGGGGGGGGGGGGGGGGTGCCCGAGCAGCTCTCTGAACTGTGCCCCCTCGTGGTCCACCCTTCCCCCAGGAGCACTTGCACGCTGAGCAGCACTCCACCACACCATACCCCGTTCAGCTCAGCCCACCCCGCCACTGCGTCGCTCCGATCCGCCCCGATCCGCTTCGGCTGCGGCTGCGCGTCCCAAATCCGAGAAGGAGCTATTGACACCAGCGCCGACCCCGCGACCTACCCGCGGGCCGCGTCCGCGTCGAGGCTCGGTCTTGTTTGTGTTGGCCGCGTCCTCGTCGCTCCCGAGGCGAGAGGCGGGCGGAGCGAGAGAGAGCGTCCGGGAGACCTCAACGCGAGCGAGGGCGCGACCAGCGCGACAGCGAGCGCGACCAGCGCGACCAGCGCGACCAGCGCCGGCCAGCTAGATAGTCCTATATAAAGCTGTAATGTAGGTTAATGTAGGTTAATTTTGGGCACTAGAAGGCTCGTCGCGCTGTGGTAAACATCGGTCAGTAGGCTAAGTGAGGGGGGCGAAGGGGGACCCAAACATGTGTCTTGTCTCCTACGACGCGTACGCGAGGGGATCCTCCCCACCCCGCCTGCTCCTTCTAGGGGGAAAGAGAAGTAGGAGAAGAAGTGTGAAGGGGGTGGGGGGGGGGAGGGAGGGCACTGAGTCGCTCACTGTCGGGCTGGCCGGCCCCCCGGCCCGGGCCCGGTCCCGCGCGACTCGGGTCCCTCGAGCTGTCCATTAGCACCACGCCGATTCCGCAGAGTCCCTTGTTTCGCCGCGAGAGTCAAGTCCTCCCCCGCGCCGCCGCATCGGATCGCCATTACGAGCAGAGACCTTGGCGGGTGTTTTGGGCATGCGGGAGACATGGTTGTAAAAATGAGTCACTCTGCCGGGCGAGGAGGAGCAGGAGGAGGACGAGCAGGAGGTGGAGCATGAGCGCCGGCGGGCGACCGTGTTGTGTCCCTCTGCTATGGCCGGCGCCGAGCATGCTCGTGAGCATGTCATCATTAATTATGTGTGTCGTTCGGCCTGACGATGACGTCGTCCAGCCGTCAGAACAATAATGGAAACCCTTTTTTTAAACTGGCTCGCTGTGCATCCCATTGGCTCGCCCGCCCGCGCTGCCCCAGCGCGCGCTATGGCCGGCCGGCCGGACTGACGGCTCAAAAGACCAGGAGTCTCTGTCTGTTCTAGCGCACGCGCGACGCGCTTCCGGGTTTACACACACACTTAAGCCCTGGTGCATTATTTTAGTGCATAGGCCTAAGCGACCCACGCCCTCATGCGTATATTCTTACAGCTGCCTCCAAAAATATGTCAAACCAATTCTAAACAAACCTACACAAAAAATTGATTTTGTCCAGTTGGTATGAGCATGCGTGTTTGTGTGTGAGAGGAGAGGGGGGGGGGGGGGGGAGGTAAAACTCTGCAAACCATGGATGACCATTTAATGACCGTGAAAAAATCGAAAAAAAGTTTTTCTTAGATTTATTCGGTAAATTACGGGGGCTCAGCTCAGCGCCTGCGAGTCTCGGGGTAGGCCAGCCTGCAGTACACGTGTGCGCTGAATGCAAGATATTGCCTACCATCCAGGCGCTATAAGAGCTTGCATCTCAGACTAAACTTGGCAGGCAGGTTCGTAATGTAAAATTACGGACGTCCTTTCTTGACGATCCCTTCCCTTATGGTTCGCCTCCCGGCTTATTGAGGCTGCGTAACCAGCACGAGAGTTGTTTTAGACAGAGTAAACACACAAATGGATACAATTCTACCTCGATCTTTCAAGAAAAGAAGAGTGCATTCCCCCTCTCCCCCTTCGCCTGCCCCTCCTCCTCAATCCTTCCCTAGCATGCGTCGCTCTCTTGCGTGAGATGAAGTAACGCGACGGAACAGCACGACAATTATATCTGCATTACGAAGGTGTTTGGAGTGTGAATCATAGCCACGAGCCACGGGCGATCAATCTTTTCTAGTTATTAACTGAATCCGCCTGTGTCTCTTCCAAAATCAAATTACCTGACGTCTGTTAGTCTGGTGTCAGGTGTCGGCAGAGTGAGGTTTTCTTCAATAATTATGTCTCGGTCAGAACGGGTGCAAGCAAATTTAAGTTTCAGGTTTTTGTTAGGTATATGGGCTCGTATGCGTGTGTTGAGTGTGTTACTGTCCTTTACATATATTTTTTGTTGCCAATGTTTAAAATAAAAAAGTCAGTAACAACAACAAAATCAGCGACTGAGTCGCTAATGATGTCCGCACGGCCGGGCTGCTCTGCTTCGGCTGTTCTTCGGCTGCCTCGCCCGGCCGGGCGAAGGCGAGGCGTGGCGTCGAGGAGCGTCGCGGCGGCGGCGGGCGTCCGGCGTCGCGGCGGCGCTGGCGGCAGCTATTCGGAACAAGCCAGCCAAGTTCAGGGACGGGGAGCCGGCTACTATATAACGCCAAGGTGGCCGCCGGGGGAGACAGTCAGAGAGCAGAACGGACAGGACACACCACACGCCCGCCATGGAGAGCACACGAATGGTGAGTGGGTGCGGGACGAGTCAAGTCGCAGTGCGTGGGGGAGGAGTGCGGGCGGGACGAAAAGTGAAGTGACTCACGTAGTGAAGTGACGTGCAGTGAAATAGCAAAACGATCGTGTGCAGATGAGAACTATAGATCCCCATAAGAAGGGCGGAGCACGCCCGTAGCTGCACTGTGCCGCATTACAGGTGTGCGTGCTGATTGCCTACTCACAGGGCGCTCACCACCCCTCGACACACGGCAAACATGTCCGCCTGTGTGCGATGCAGCAGTAGAACTGCGGGCGAGGACCAACACCAACCCTCTCCCTCCCCGTTTTCGGTGCGGTGGGTTCCCCATAATGTCGGTTGTTTTAAGGTCGCGAACTAGTGCCGTTTTGTCCCACTCTCTAATTGCGCCGTGCGTGAGCTCAAGTCATTGAACTGGACCGTGCGGTGCTGCCGAGCTCACAGCTGTGCGGGGTTTGTTGTGCACAGTAATTTGTCTCGCCTGGTGTGAGTCTCTCGGCCGGAGGACAAACACTCCCCCAATTACCTGCATGCCTCGCCGCGGAGTCGAGCAGCGGGACCCAAAATCTCCCATCCGCTTCTCCAACCACTTTTAAAAAAAAATTATTCCATCCAAACGCTCTGTTTGCAGATCCTTGCGTTTGTCGCGCTGTGCGTGATCGCCGCAGCCAACGCCAAACCCGCTGGTGACCTGGAGCCGCAGAAGCTGGCCAGGGAAAAGAAGCAGACCTCCTCAAGTAAGACCTCTCGTGTTGACGTATCATGATTTCTGTTTTCTGTCGTTGGTTTCCTTTTTTTTCCTACCCTAAACACTGCTGTATTCTATGCTCGTTTCATTTTCTGCGCACAGCCTACCCCTACGACTCGCAGGGCTACAGCGCCTACTCCTCGTCGAGGTACAACCCCTCCTCTGCGTACGGCTCCAGCCCGTACGGCAGCTCGGGCTACGGCGGCTACAGCGGTCAGCAGGGCTACGGTAGCCAGGGCTACGGCAGTCAGGGCTACGGCAGCCAGGGTTACGGCAGCCAGGGTTACGGCAGCCAGGGCTACGGCAGCCAGGGCTACAACAGCGCCTACCCGTCCGGCCGATCGTACAACCCGTCGGGCGCGTACGGCAGCTCGGGCTACGGCGGCTACAGTGGTCAGCAGGGATACGGCAGCCAAGGCTACAACCAGGGCTACGGCAGCCAGGGCTACGGCAGCCAAGGCTACGGCAGCCAAGGCTACGGCAGCCAGGGCTACAACAGCGCCTACCCCTCGGGCTCGGGCTACAGCCAGTACTCTCGACAGGGGCAGGCTGGCTACGGCGGCTACAGCAGCGGCGTCTACAACTCCCCCAACCCCTACAGCAGCTCGTCCTACCCCGGCGGCTACAGCAGCGGTGGCTACAACAGCGGCGGCTACAACAGCGGCTACAGCGGCAGCTACTAGGCGCAGTGCACCGGGCTGCAAGTGCGGCCACTGCCACATCTTCAGCAGTGTTGTGATGGACGAGGACTTGAGTGAGCGGGGCAGGGAGGGGGAGGGAGGGGCGACCTAGTTGAGAGCGGATCCGAAGTTCGCGGGCGTGGAAGAAACGGTTGCCGAAACCCACATAGTGCACCTAGAATAATGGATTCGACGTTGAAACCCTCCCGGTTCGACCTTGAATGGGTGTCGGCCACCATTTCGGTACAAAGCCGTCACCGATGAGAATTATTGGCAGTCGTATGCCGTGAGCGAAGCGAACTTGGTGACAGGAAATGCTGTCGCAATTGGGCATGTATACTTAAAGAATAAAACCTCTTTACGTTTTTTTACTTAGCTATTTCGTTTATTTCTTTTTGGCGAAAAATATATGCAATTGTCGCGTTTAATCACATGTATTTCACATCGGGTAAACAAATTGGTGACAGACTGCATCACACAAACACATAATGCCTTATGCGGCTTACCTACGCCACACTCCCCTCCAGGAGTCACGCAGTCAGTTCAAGATTTAAAACTTACAACTTACTATATTAGTTTTTTTTTACAATGTCAGTTATCACAGACTCAGCTTGTAAACCTCATGAAGGCATGGTGAGACTTCAAAAGGCAGTAAACATTTCTTCTAATTGAGCACATGGGTAATGGGTACGTCTTCATAATAATCAGAACTTTTCGGTGGGTTTCGATGAGACAGACTTAACGGATTCCAACAGCAAAATCTGAAACAGGAGACCGCCCGAAAAGGACATGCAAAGTTATTAGTACTCTTTTCCCTTTTCCAGTTGCTTGGGGAAAACAAATCATGATTTTAACCAAAAAGAAACCCGCCACCCAAAAACATGCTACGAAAAAAAATATTTAATCTACGAGCCGCGCGTTGGTGTTAATTTTAAGTGTCTGACCCACCTAGCATTCCAGAAGGAAAATCATATATGCCATGAGCGTCATGCATGAGGTGTGCTCCCTATTGATCCGTATCTGGATGGCGAGACTTTCACGGGTTCAAACTGTTCAGAATAGAATTTTGAAACTAGAATTTGGATGACTCCGACTTTATTTCTCTATCAAGTATTTCAAAACATTGCTCCAAATAACTATCTATTTACAGCTACGCCACCTCACGCCTCCGACTCTGTTGAAAAAGCCGTGATTAACGAACGATGACTAGGTCGACTAGGTCCTCTCTCTCTCTAGCCTGTTGACTCTTTACTCCTCCGCGCTACTGTACTGGGAACGCGCAACTGTTCGGAACCACCACAGAACTCACTTATGCATCTTCTTACGAATGTGGGAAAGTGTTAAGGCACATGCAGTGCTTGCAGCAGGCCGCGGTGCCTCGACTACGGTAGCGTGTGGATCTGCAACAAGTATCACGGCCCAAACACCTCGGTCAGGATGCATTTCCTCGAACAGAGCAGCAGCGGCGGCTGCTAAAGCGAAGCAGAAGTGTCCAAAAGCAGCCTGCGCGTGCGCGGGGGCATGCACCATACACATGCACTCTGCCACCTTTCCTCTGTAAGGTTATCGTTACAAATCGGAACTTTCGCAATCAGGTTCCGATGTTGGCAGTACTGACCCGGAACTTGGGCGGGTGCACCGAGATGCGCGTCATCTCGGGGATGTAGGTGATGATGCTGCCGACGAAGATGAGGGCGACGAGCCACTCCGCCACGGTGGACACGATGTGCAACGTGTACCCCTTGTTCTCCGGTGACCACTTGACCTGGTCCTTGCCTGCAGCCAAAAGAAAGCAAAACATGAAAGATGAACCATGTGTGTGCCGAGTGCCTTAGCGCTCCTGGCGGTGTTGGTGCCGCGGTGGGACGAGGACGCCGTGTTCCCTCGGGAACGCATTATCGCGTTGGTCCGAACAAAAGGTCGGAAAAACCGACGCGTTCGAAGGTAAGGCTGATGATCGGGAGGCTGAGGCTATGGTGAGCGAGGCGAGGGTCGCATGATGACCCGTCAGACTCACCGTCAAACTGCGAGATGGCGGCGAGGGCGCAGGCGAGGCAAACGGTGAGCGCGATGGCGGACAGCACGGTGAGCGTGGTGCGCAACCTTACCATGTTGAGGCTGCTCACCCACGGGCACATGCACTTGGAGAACCAGGCCTGGGAACACGTAAAAATCGCGTTGTCACATACATATACCGAGACCGAGAGTGCACGGGGGATTATTATTATTAAGCTACATATTTTGGCGACGGCGGTAGTCAAACATCGATGAGGCATATCAATGGCATGTTTAGCGAAAAAAAAACCTCCTGTCTGCTGGTCGTGACGACTCCCGCGACTCACGTGCGAGCGCCTCGGAGGCTCTGGACACGCGATGCACGGAAATGACACGGTGCTTCGGTGCTTCCATAACCCGCCTGGCCGCAACATTCCGAACAATCATACATTTGCCATTATTCGATTGGTTTAATTGCCGTTTTTGAAGATATTTTTTGTTGATTCGATATTTCTTTAATAGGCTAGAGGGGTTGTCCGTGTGTGTGAGGTAGGGGGGTCATAACTATATCTGGTTATCACCAGTGAGTTTGTGGGTGCCCAACCCATCTCTCGACAAAATCTGATACTTAGACATCATGCAAGCATACGTACGTGCGGCTAGTATCACTTTACACCACTCACGGTCACGCACTCGCCACTTTGAATAGACGGATTAGACCTACTGAGAAATCAGCACACACGCCTCTATCTGGGTTGTATAGTTAATTATTTCCGCCCTATTTCAAGTACATACATGCCACTTCAATCAATCAAGACACACGTACTTCAAAAACCAAGGATCAAGTACAATTTACAGAAAGTACATCTGTTTCGCTTCGATTCATTCTGCTACTTACAGGAGTTCGGCGCCTGCGAGACTCTGGATAGGCCACCCCGCAGTACACGACTGCACGGCAGGAAAGATTTTGCCTACCCACCAGGCGCCAAGAGAGCTTGCATTGGCTGAACTGAGCAGTTTCGCAACGGCGAATGACGGGCGTACTTTTGGAATGATACCCCGTTCCCCGTTTAATGAATAGTATGCGCGGAATACTTCTTGGCTTCTTATTGGTCGCGGGACACTAAACTCACCTGGATTCCAAAATAGACTGAGCCGCCGACGAAGCAGGTGAAGGCTCCCAGGTAGTGCACTATGCGGACCTTCTGCACTTGGAAGTTGGCCACGACGCAGAGGCCGATGGCGCTGGCCGTGCCCAGGGCCCATGCGATCCGGTTGAGCCTCGGCGTGATGCTGGTGTTGGGCGTCGACTCGCGGTACACGAGCAGCTCGTGGTAGCGGAGGTACACGGCCACCATATCTGCGGCAGCGGCAGGTGAGAAATCGCTCACCAACCTACTCTTTTCCCCCGTAAAGCATTTAGGTGCACACACATTTCATGACTTACAGAGGAAGGAGGCGATGTTCATCCCAAAGCTGAAGACGCAGCTTTCGGGCTCCCAGTTGCCCGTCTCGCTGATGTAGGGGAACACGATGGGGACATGGCCGAGCGCCACGGACACGGCGTAGCTGCAGACAGAGTGGGGCCGGCGGGCGCGGGCGTTAGTTGGGCTGCCTGCCCTGCACGGCGTGAGCAGGAGGCGCTCGGGAACCGTGAGTACAACATCGGCCTTACCAAACGGATATGGTGATGAGGAGAACGACAGCAAGGACTGTCAGAAGCATCGTAAATTTAGTCAATCCCTTCACCTGCAAAGAAAAGTTGTAAACACAAATTATGATACGTTTAATCCCTCGGAAATTTTTCGCGGGTTAATTGTTGTGGTCAAGCATATGCAGGACGTCCCGATCGAGGGAGCCCAACGCATGCAGAGTTTAGCGAGTTTAGCCATGCATGACATGCGCGCGATGGGGGATATGCCAAGGTAGCAGGCAAGGCAGGGGCCTGTCCCTCCCTGGCCGAGCACCCAAACATGAACGCACTGCTTACCGCATCGCATAGCACCGGGAACCTTGATGTATTCGGTTGTAGTTTAGTTTCGTGTCAGTTTTTTTTTCCTTTTAAATAGGAACTTGAGGATTTTATGTTTGACTACCATTATGGTTTGAGAGCCCCCTTTCGCGAGTTGGCGCCTCCTTGCAGATGCAGTCATGCTCCACTAGCAGGTCGTCCCGCGCGACCAGCAAGGCCGGCCAGTCGTCCCCGCCGCCCC